CTTCAGGCAAATATCTAATGCCAGTATTCTTTTAATGAAATTATAAGGGAAGGAGTACTCCCAAGTCATTCCTGGAGGCTAGCATTACCCTGATTCCAAAACCAGACAAGGGCCTAATTGAAAAAGAACTACAGGCCAGTTCTCTTTAAATCACCACCAAAATCATATTAAATGAGGAAAAACTAACAGCTTTCCCTTTAAAATCAAGAACCAGACCAGGATGTCACCTAACAGCATTCCTGTTCAATATGACCCTGCCTGGAAACATTAGCCAGAGCAAAGAGACAAGGGGAAAAAAATAAAGGAGCTATGTGTAGGAAAAGAAGAAGTCAAATTATTATTTGCAGATGACATGATCCTCTACATAGACTTAAATCCCACCAAAAGACTCCTACAGTTAATAATCAGATTTTTAATGTAGCAGGGTACAAAATCACACACACAAATAATAGTATTCCTCTGCACCCATAATGAGCTCGCTGAAAAAAATTACAAAAATACCATCTACAATAGCTTCAAGAAAAATTAAATAATCTAATCAGGAAAGTAAAAGACCTCTACAATGAAAATTATAGTGCTCTGAAAAAGAAAATTGAAGAAAACATCAGAGAATGGAAAGATATTTGCAGTTCATGAATAGGCAGAACCAATATTGTCATACTGGCCAACTTCCAAAACTGATATACAGATAGAAGGCGATCCCAGTCAAAATACAAACAGCATTCCTCAGATAACAAATCAAAAATCTCTATGGGAGCCTAAGAGACCCAGAATAGCAAAAGCCTTCCTGGGCAACAAGAGCAAAGTAAGGGTCCTTCACAATCCCAGATTTCAAATGTTGTAGCAAAGCTACAGTAATATAAGCAGCATGAACCTGGCAAAGTAGCAGAAAGGTGGGTTAGCTGAACTTTTTAGAAAAGAGGATGCTAAAACAACATAGGGCTGCTGGAGGAAAGATAACCTCTTTAAAATCCAAATGCTGGAGGAAAGATAACCTCTTTAACAAATGGTGCTGAGAATGCCGGCTATTAAGGTACAGAAGATGACTCTAGACCCATATGTTTCACTGTCTACTAAACTAATCAAAATGGATCAAAATTTAATTATTGATCTGGCAGAGATAAAACTTTTGAAGTCATGGGTATAGACAACATTCTTAACAGAACCCCAGTTGCACAAGAAACAACATCAAAAATCAATAAATGAGGTCATATAAAATTGAAGTTTCCATACAGCAAAGGAAACACCCATCAGTGTAAGGAATTTACCTATGGATTTTTTTCCAGCTACTGTAACAGAGGACTAATATCTAGACTATATAAAGAACTCAAAAAATTATGTCCCCTCCCAAAAAGAACCAATCAAAAGATGGGCAAGTGAAATAAATAGAGACTTCTCAGAAGATCATGAAATAAGTACATGAAAAAAATGTTCAACATCTCTGGTCATTAAAATAATGCACATTTTAAAATATTGAAATATTACTCCAGAAAAAAAGGCTATCATCATAAATCAAGTAATAACAAATGTTTGCAAGGCTCCTGAGAATAAGTAGCTCTTCTACATTGCTGGTTGAAATGTAAATTAGTATACTCACTATGAAAATCAGGATGGCGTTTCCTCAGAAAATAAAAACTAGAAATTTCATTGGACTCCGATGCCTCTTCTAAGTATCAGCCTGAAAGAGTTAAGGACATCATATTACAGTGATCCGTGACTTCCTGTGTTTATAATAGTGCAACGCATACTAGCCAGATCTTGGAAGCAGCCTCTATGTTAATCAGCTGATGGATGCATAAAGAAAATGTGGTTATGGGCCAGGGATTTAGCTCGGTGGTTCCACTATCTGCCTCACAAATGCAAAGTCCCAAGTTCAATCCCCAGCACCAAAAGAAAAAAAAAAAAATTGAGGTTTTTGTACCCAATCGAGTATTATGGTGCCATAAAGATGGATAAGCCTGAGTCATTTGTAGGATGCATCTTGAGTCCAGAATGTTAAGCGAAATAGATCAGACACACAACCTCTTATCACATGATTGCTCTTACATGAGAAAACAATAACTATAAAGAGCAAAATAAATGATAGATAATAGTAAACAGGTAAGCAGATCTTGTACAAAAGGGAAAATGACCAGTAAAGAGAAGGGGGAGGGAGTGGAGGAGAGGGAAGTAAACAGAATTAAGATGCTTTATAGTCCTCATGAATATAATGATTTTGTAGTACAGACACATACTAATAAAAATTTCTTAAAACTCTTTATGAGTGCTAAGCACATATTTGGCCCTTAATATTTGTTTTATTTACTGTGTCATGATTTAATGATAAAACAATTCCATAGACCAAAAAGACAACCAATAGATTATCTTTGGCCTTTGTGTGCCTCTGTTATTAGAGCTTTCATCAGTTTGAGATGTTATGCCTTAATTAGAACTGTAAGTACCCATGAATAAATTTAAATGATTGTAAATTTCAGAGATAATGTTTCTAATTCCTATGCCTTAGTCTCCTTTTCTCTGTACCAACAGTGTAATCAAGGTACAAGGTCTTATTTAAGTTAACAAATAAGTATCCTTCATTACTAAGTACTACGTAACTTGACAAAAATCTGCTTCCCGTGACAAAACAGCACTGAATCTAGTCACCAGCTCTGCTTGTACTTTCACAATTCCTTGAGCTGATTTTGCAAGAAGCCAGAAGAGCCATTGGTTTATACTTCTTTATCTCAACTAAAATCATCGATATATTCTAGCCATGGAAGTGCCTGTTTTCCTACAACGTATTATCCTTTCTGGGTTCAAAATATATTTGTAATTATTTATTCATAGACTACAAGCCATTTAAACCTACAGTTTCTGAGATGTACTTTTCTGTTGTGCTTAACTACTAGTTTATGTCATCTTCAAACATTAAAAATATGGTAAGAATAAAACTTTGACAAACGAAAGATGGATATAAGTCTGAAGTTATTTGGAAGTTCAAAATAATATTATAGAAACTATAAATGGGTTTTATTGTAAAACAAGGCTTAAGTAAATATTTATTTGTTATTGAATGATCAAGAATTAAGCAAGAAAAAACAATGGAAAGAGTAACATGAGAAAATGTTTGATGCAAAGTAGTCACAAATTAAAACCTTTCAGTGCATTGAAAACTAATTTAATTGGATTTTAAAAACACATGCCTAACAAAAATGTGGTGTCTCTAGTTTATGAAAAATCCCCCCTCTAGAATCAGAAGGCATCTGAAATAAAATGGTTTTATAATTGTTATTTTTTATTGTTTTGGTAACAAGAATTGAACTCAGAGCCTTCGCAAGCCCTGTGCCACTGAGCTACATTCCTGGCTCTGGTTTTATAAGTATTAACAATAATTATTTTTTTTAAATGTTATGTGTTGCATGTCCTTCATTTATTCTTTTAATACTCATTTAATTCTTTAATATAGAAGCTACCATTATTCTACTTCACAGATAAGGAACTTAGGGCATTTGTTCATGCAGATTAGGCATTAAGTAGCCAGTGAACTATATAATTTCTAACTGTGTGGCTGGGCCTTTTGATCTCAAGATTGTGACTTACTTGGTTCCATGTTTTTAACTGCTGTCTTATACTGCTTAAAATCATCAAAAGACAAGAAAGGAAGAATGATCAGTCTTACTGACAATACAAATGCAAATTTAAAGTTTTTTCTTACTAATAAAGAAATGAGAATAAAAGAAAATTCTGGAGTAGTGCTGGAAATACTTTGCCATACCTACTACCTATGGGCAGAAGGCTTCCTGTGCCTGGGGATCAGTGCTACAGGATAGAAGTCCTCCTGGTGGCAGTAAGGAATGTGCCATTGTCTTTGCCCACTCTTCTGGAACTCAGGGAAAGATGCATCTTGCCCCTGGTCAGACTTTGGTTTATAGTTTGTTACATTCATGGCTGTAAGTTCAGTTTGCAAAATTGTTCTTTCTCCATATGAGAGGGATCTGGCCTATGACAACTGCATATATATAGAAAAATGTCCGAGGGCTTTAGTGACTTTCTTTTTAGGAAGTTTTTCTAAAGAAATTGTATATGGGTTTTCAGCTTAGATAATATATTTTAAAGTATAAGTTAATTTTAGTGTGCCATAATAGAATTTGAGAGTAATTTCATGAAGCTGATTTAATAGTAGTCTCAAGTATTGACAAATAATTCTTAATGTTTAGATTGGTACAGGATGCTGGGAATATAGGTCTAATTCCTTTATTCAAACTCAGTAAATGGTTTGGGACAATTAATTTCCAATTGTTTCCCAGTAGAGCAGATTTACTTGTATATTAATGAGGCACAGGTGTTAGGCCCCTAGTGTCTGCATGCCTGGGAGGCATATTTCAGTTGTTTATCTACTCAGCCATAGGTACTGCAAGGTACACAGGCTTGAATTTAATAGTTTTTACAGTGAGGTCTTTTTTTATGTTTTCTTCATATTTGCCCACACCTGTTTAAATTTTAAAACTGATCATGTATAAATAAGTTGTAACAGTTTCCATAGTAAATAGCACCAACAATTGAAAGTCATCTTCTATTGTACTTACTAACATTAAAAAGAAATGATTTTATTCAAACATATTTCTAGTGAGAAGCCAATATAATCAATGCATACTTTTTGTTTTATATTTTTGGAGCAGATTTATCTTTGTCAATGTCCATATCATTCATATACTTTTTGTAATCATCTTGTGTATTCATTGAACTGCAATACCAACATTTTAAAGGAAATGGAGTAGCCTCCATAGACAATATGAATTTCAGTAGCTGGCATAATTATAGTTATCTACATATTCATTAAATCTACAGAAGAACAATCTCCAAGAAGACAACCATGCATTTAGAAACAGAGAACAACTAAATATATACATTTTAAAAATTGTATTTCTTAGATAATATTTAAAATTAATTTCTATGACACTGTTACCCAAGCAGAAAAATTTTTACAAAAGGATTCCCATGCTTTGATTTCTTTCAAATAGGAAAGAATGGGAAGAACTGTTTGTAAACAACAATTACTTGGCAACAATAAGACAGAAAGGGATTAATGGGCAGCTGAGAAGCAGCAGGTTCCGCAGCATTTGCTGGAAGGTAAGAAGAAAATATTTATTTACAGTTTGTGGTTGCAATATATCAACATATTACCTGATGCCCTGGAAGATTTTCCATGTAGTCGGGGTAGTGGTGGGGGGAATCATAGAATTTTCCAAGAGGATTTGATTCCAATTTTTTGCCATGCATGTTTATCTTTCATAGGACATTTTCTAATAAGGTTGAACCACCTTAGTCTTGAATAACTGGTGTAAAAGAATAATTTTTTTTTTTTTTTTTGGTACTGGGGATCGAACTTGGGTCCTTGTGCTTGCGAGGCAGGCGCTGGAACCACTAAGCTAAATCCCCAGCCCATAAAAGAATAATTTAAAATAACTATCTTGTCATCTCTTTTGATGGCACAAATCTCAGAGCAATACCAGTACTACCCAGCTTTTACAGAAATTCTTGAAGCTAGGCAGAAGTAGGTGTGGTAGATAACTTTCCGATTCCTGTTATGTCAAATGTTTTCATTTAGTCATCTTCCCTTTTTTCTTTATAAAAAGAAATGGAACAAATTTTTATGTTTCATTTGCTGGAAATACAAAATGAAGAGTAGTAAGAAGGAGAAATGGAAGGAAATTGGGTCAGTTTCCTTCTGAGGGAAATTTTGGGTTATTGCTTGCCAAAACTAGTAGTAATAATCTACAGTTATCTTTTTAATTGCTTAGAGAAACTGTCCCGTTTTGGTCTCCAGAAATGAATTAATTTAGGCTTAATCTTATTTTTAAAATGACTTCTATCAAAAGTTTTAAGGGTTATCTGCATAAATTGAGCATACGGAGTCTGTGCAAATTAAGACAGCAAGAAATGCATGATATATTAGACAGTTGTAGATTTAATAATTTAGAATTGATAATTACAATACATTTTTCTTCTGTTAGATGCAGGCAGTAAAGGCCGGAAACCTGCTGCTAGAGTATTTGTATACAAATATTTGTGCCTCACCCCCATTCCCTGTTGTTTAACTTTATCCTTCATTTGCTAAAAATAAACCTCAGTAAAAATTTATTTTCATGTTGTAGTAAGCTAAATTAAATCAAATTTGTCTTTTTAAGAATAGTTATTTTCATAAGCTGATTGATAGTTGTAAATTACATTTCATTTCTGCTATAAAAGGAATGACTACTTCGTAGGCTGTGTCCTCAGTACTCAAACTGTTTTTCTCTATTCTTTAACTGTGTATTTTAAGAAAAATCTTAAACCTAGAAGTTACTAACCAGACCTTATGCTTTTTAATAACTCTCTGTCACTCCCAGTAAGATAAGCATGCAAAATGGAAATTTTACTTGAACCTCCATGAATTTTCTTCATTTTTAACACTAATCTGGAAGAAACATTGATTTTGTTCTGTGGTGTAGCTTTTGAGATCTTGGCTTTGGCCTTCGGTTGCTCAGTGTTTGAATTTTCTAATTATATACTTTTAATTCTTCCCAAATATAAATTATTGGGAAATGAAATTGAAATGATAATATGCATATGAAATTTCATGGAAAATATCTCTCGATTTTTTTTGGAGATTCTGCAATTTTTACAGAAATTTTCTCTTTTTTTGCCTTGACAGCTGTTTCTTTGTGTTCTTCCTCAAGATAAAAGTCAGTGGATAAGTAAAATTAAAGAATTAAGATCATGGTATAGCAACATTAAAGAAATAGTAAGTAAACAGTAAATGTAATTAATGAATTATTTTCTTATCTATACAGATAAGTATCTTCTAATCTTATGTGTATTTGTTTTATCTCTTTATCAGCATATCACAAATCCCAGGAAGGTTGTTGGCCAGCAAGATTTGATGATCAACAATCCCCTTTCACAGGATGAAGGGGTAATGTTTGTCTTTATTTTATTTATTTATTTATGCTTTTCCAGTACTGGAGATGGAACTCAGGACCTTGCTCTTGGAATGCAGGTGTGGTACCACTAAGCTAATCCCCAGCCCTGTCTTTATTTTTATCTCAACCTCTCTTATGTATAAGATTATGCTTAGATGATTGGTTAAATAGTCAGTACTGAAAACAATATATTTCATGCCAAGTATTTTCTTTGTATATATTACCTAAAATCTGATAGAAATATTTTTGTGGTGTATTGTGTTATAGGAAGTTTATAATTTATACCTCTAGAATAGTAATACAGAGAAATCTCAGCAGTGTGTTAAAAACTAAGTAAAATGAAAAAGCATATTTAGGAGGATGGCACTGTCTTAATCCACTTACAGTGGGGATTGGGGCAGCTAAGGAAAGTCTCTTACATGAGAAGAAAAGAGAGAATGGTCCATTTAGCATAACTGCCTTCCAGAAAAAAAGAAGCACTTACTTGTGGTATGTGAAGAAGTTTTTAAAGAGGTCAGGGCTACCTCTACTCATTCCAGTGAATACTAGGAATAATTAGTACTGCAGAGGTTTTTCATTATTTATGGGTTGGGGATAGAACTCAGGGCTAGAACCTCAGCCTAACATGTGGGGCCCTGGGGTCAAACCCAGTATGAAAAGCAGGGGTGGGGTATATGTGTGTTAATTGAAAGAAGAGATTGAGTAAATTTTGTTTAACTTTAATTGTTGCTACTCTAATTCCTATTTAGCTGAGATTAGAAAAACTTTTTTTCTATTTAATAAATAATGTTATGATTTCTTTTTCCTGATATAATTAGTATAATATAGTCTTTGGTATAGCAATCTTAAAATAGTAAGTTTTAGAACTTTACCTAAGTTCACATTTTAAAACCTACGTAAAAGCCTTTTATATTATAAAATCTAGCCTTATAGATTTTTTTCTTTTTTTTTGGTAGTGGAGTTCAAACTCGGGTCCTAGCACTTGTGAGGCAGCAGGAAGCAGAACCACTGAGCCAAATCCCTGACCCCAAACCAAGCTTTATAGAAAACAATGTATATCTGTCTTAATGCATTGGAAATTCAAATCTGATTCAACTTGTGACTTGTTGGCCCATGGGTTCTATTCTAGTGCAGGTACCTTTCTGTTTATAGGCGTAGGAATATGTTCAGCAGTGAAGAGGATCATTCACTTTATACAGATAATATAAATTTTTAAAATACATATAGTAATATTAATTTGGAAGTATTGGTGTTAGAATAAAAAGGTGCTTTGAGATTAAACTAGATTTTAATAGGAATTATCCTAACCTCAGATTTTCTGTCTGAGAACCCTGAACTGAGAGTATAGAAGAGCATAAATTTAAAAACTTAACTTATTAAATTGAACTCATTCAAGTCAAGCAGAGAAGTGAAATTGTTTTAATTAGGTTGTTCTTATTTCAGAGTCTTTGGAATAAATTTTTCCAAGATAAAGAACTTCGATCAATGATTGAGCAAGATGTCAAAAGAACGTAAGTAGAACTTTTTACTTTAAATAATTCAAACTGTTATTTCTTTGTAATTTTAGAAAAATGTAAAATCTATACAGGAGCCTTAATTGAATGTCATATTCTACTTGTAGTAATAGCACTGTTTTGACCAGTCTTTGATAGTAGGATTATACTCTGTTCTTTTTTTTTTCCCCATTGTTTATTAGTACATTCAAAGCAAACAATACAGTTACATTTATCATTGGGATCTTGTACCTTTATATGATATATATTGGTTCTTGTTTTTTCCCCATACTTCTGCCCTCTATTCTTAAAATATAGGTTTATATGTTCCTTTTTAAAAAATAAATTATCTTTATAATATTTAGGATATTAAATACATTTAAACTGTTTTTTCATTTTTCATCAATTATTTGAAGTCATGAATCTGATCAGGCTGTTTTATAATCATTACATTGGTATTAGTAGAAGAACTTACCTCTTTATTCATTTTAATCCCTTTCTAGCCAGTTTACTTATAAAATAACAATTATTGTTTTTATCTTTCTCATTTCTCTTTCTTTTAAGCTACTCAAGTTTGCAGGTTCTCTCTAAAGCTATTCAGTTTTTACCATGTGAAGGACCAGTTTCTGATTTAGCACACAGTTAATGTTCATAGCTTATATATGTTGGACCTCATGTTTCCTAGTATTATGGTGGGAAGTACATAGAATTTTTTGGCAGAGACTCCAGAATGAATTCTAGATAATTATGCTGTAGTCATGGAAAGATTATGTTCCACATCTTTTCTCCCTAGTTTCTTTTTCTGTAAAATGGGAATAAACTTAGTAATGACTTCACAGGATTTTTATATATTGAGTACAAGTTTTGTATGCCTTATTCGAAATGCTTAGGACCAGAAGTATTTCAGATTTCTAATCTGGGGTTTTTTTTTCAAATTTTGGAATATTAGCATAGAATTTACCAGCTGATAATTTCTAATCCAAAAATTCAACATCCATAATACTTCAAAATTAGAAACTTTTTCAGCATCATGTAAATGCCCAAAAGTTTGGACTTTGGTTTTTGTATTAAAGATCTTCAGTCAGTACATGTAGTAATAGCACTAATTAGATAGGTGTTGAAACTATAAAGTATTGCATAAATATTAATAAATGTAATCATTAATTGGATGAGCTGGTTATGTACACAGCCATGAGTATATCTAGTGGCATCCTCCAAGACCTTGCAGCTTTACCTGTGTGCTCCATTGCTAGTTCAACTCCTGTCAGTTCTTTTACAATGTTGAAGCCTCTGGCTTTCTGACATTCATGTTTTTCCATGTCCCAGTCTCTGAATAATCAGAGGGTATGGACTGCTATTGAGTTACATTACATGTCTACAAGATGAAAGTTGCTATTTTAAAATGAAAATAATTCAGAATCGATCCTGTGTTCAGAGTTCAACAAACCTCTAGCTAACTGTAGGGTTCAGGCTGGGAGGTAGGAGGTCATTTTGGTTATTTTGTATAACCCTTTAATTGAGGAATAATCCATTCTTACAGGAAAGCTACTCTCAAAGATGGCAGCTGACAGTGCTTGATCTCTCTAGTGTCTAGTTTCAGAAAGTAGAGTACCACGGTGGTGCACATAGTAAATATTTGAATAAAATAGACTTCCCTCTTTAGTGGTAGTAAAGCAGCCCTTACAAAAACAAAATGTATGGTGTATACAGCTAACCAAACTATAAAGTTTCCTCTTTTATAAAGTACTTGGTAACTTTTGAAAGTTGACAATTTCAGGTTGATGAGTCTAATAAGATCAATTATACTCCATCTCTCCATAGTTATTAAATGGAAATGCTGTAGAGTCACACTCTCAGAGGCCATAGGACCAGAGTGTTTAAAAGAAATAGAAAAGAAAAGGAGAGAAATAAAGTGATAGCAAACCCAAATAGAAGCTTATCATTTTGTTTACTTAGTTCAAACATTTCTGCTTCACTGTGTAACAAAGTTATTTCTTCTTCAAAGTTGTACTCTTTTAATTATTTCATTTTATATTTTCTAGGTAGTTGTCTTGTAAAAATACAAGATGCATACATGTATATGGTACTAATTTTTTCTTAAAGTTTATTTCCCATTAATATGTTTTAATTAAATTGCAAGCCTACAATTCAGTGACAGCAACTATCATTCATAGTATGCACGGGGAAGGTTCCATTTGTATTTCCCTTGAAGAATTTCCTGTGACTCTGTCTTGGACTAGAAGGAGTTTACATGCCTTCTCTTGTCTAAATTTTATGGCCCAGAATGTAGCCTGTAAGGTTAGGCAGTTGTATTTTAAAGCCACCAAATTGCTTAAGCATAAAAGCTGAATAGCTTGAATAATTTTACTGCTTTGCATCTATTTAAGGCATTATGTGATCTAAATATCTATGTTTTTTAATTCAGTCTTTGAAGCAACCGATAATAAAACAAGAATACAACTCAGAGAAGTGTGCACAGTGTTACTTGTTCATTAACATCTCTGATAAGAACTTTGGTTTCTAAAACATGTTTATTGATTTAAAAGTACTATATTCCAGCCTTGACTTTTGTATTGAGGAGATTAGAGTGGCAAATGACACGGCAGAGTTCAGCCATCATAGCATGTAATTTTCCTCTGGTAGGAATGATTGAGACAACAAGCACATATAGATAAAGAGCAATTGTTGGGTGTTAATTACACTGAAGAATAAGATAGAGGAAGAACAGCTAGAGAGGTAGCTACTTTGGGAAGAGTCATTGGAGAAGACATCAGAGAAAATGGCCTTTGAGCAGAGATACAGAAAATTTTTGAAGACCAGTCAAGTGAAGATCTAAGGGAATAAAATTCCAGGCAGAGGAACAGCTAATACAGACTCTTTCAGTGAAAATGAACTCTCTTGAGAGGAACCAAATGAAGGTGGGGGGAGCCAAAACCAGATGATTTAAAGACAAAAATCTGAGAAGAGCACAAAGCTAAATCATCTTTTAGACTCTTAGTTACTTTTCTCTCATTGCTGATGCTACTTAAGGTAAGTAGCGCTCACATCTTTAATCCTAGTGCCCTTGAATCCTAGTGCCTATTGCACCATGAATCAATTCCAGCACCACACATTCTAGATCGAGCTACCTCTGACAAAGCCCCACCTGTGACCATGTGAGGTTTTGAAGAGACATCTAGACACAAGCCATAACATGGACCTTAGTAAGAAATTTGAATTTTATTTGAGTTGCAATGGGAAGCTGTTGAAGGATATTGAATCAGGGTATGATATCTAAAAAGATACTTCGGGCTGCTGTGCAATAGAGTAAACATGAATGTAAGAATGGAAGCTAGATAGCAACTAGGAGTCTAATGCAGTATTCAAGTTAAGTAATATAATTGTCTTAAGACTACAGGTATAGTAAAAAAGGTAATTAAGAGTATATAGTTTAAAATATGTATTTTGTATTTTCAGTTACAAATCAGGGGGTCATTATATGTAATTCTCTCACATCGGTTCTGTTCTAGTTTTATTGCTGTTTCCATTATTTTTTGCCTCTTACCTGCAGCCTCTTACATAGGATCTAGTATCTTTCCACCTCCAGTCCATTCCATGTCTTACTGCCCACTCTTCTCAATGCAAATTTATAGTCTTGCTATTTTACATAATCCAAAACCTACAGTTCCCTATGGCCTACAGAAGAATTGATTGTACCCCGCTTCTCTAACAAACAACCAATTCTTTAGGTTGGTGTTTCTGGCATTGTTACATGTGTAAGTTCTGTGGTTTCCATTTTCCATGCTTTGAAATTTTCTGTGTTCTCTTCTATTGGATCCCTGCTTTCTTCCAGTGCTCCCTGTTAGATTCCTCAAAAATTTGACTTTTAAGGCCTGAGCTTGTCATCACTATGTCCATGGTGCATTTTCAGGTCTTTAAAATTGTAATGCCAGGGTTCTAGCTTAGTAGCAGCGCACCTAACTCACAAGCACAAGGTCCTGATTTCAATCCCGGTAACAAACAAAAAAACAATTATAAGTATTTTGTGTTTATTTTATACTTATTTTCTTAAAACTTTTTAATGCCATTATTTAATTTGGTTTGGCGTGTATTTATTTATTGGTGGTACATCTGCTAATACTTTCAGTAAATTTATACTAGTCCCTTGAGAGTGCCAGGCACTGGTGTTACCATGATAAAAATATGACATAACAGCCTTACAATGTAAGGATAACGACTGTTATAGGAGCAATGATGTATATAAAAACTCTGTTGTTAGCCCAGGTCTTATCTTGCCATCTAATTATAAGCCCCTGTGATATACAGGCCTAATCTTCTTTTAATGTCATTGGACTTTGCCAAGTTGATGCTTTAATAAATCATCACTAGTTATGAATTGTATCACTGACAAGCAGTGTTATTCAATTTCAGTTATATTCTATAACATCTTTTCAGTCTTCAGAAATATAAGCATACTTTTTAAAATACTCCTATGATCGACCTAATACTGTAAGTTTAAACAAGATAATTTAATCTTATAAGCTATGTTTTTGTCATAATTTTTTAATTTGATCTGAATATGTCACTATACTAATATACTCTTCTTCTTCAAATAATTTTAATATTATGCCGCTAACCCTTTTTTGGCTCAAAGGGTTTTATATTCATTTACTTGTTCCATATCTTGATAGATTGTTATTGTTCCCATTTTCATTACTGAAAAATGCCTCATAATCAAAAGGTACACCTAGGAATTTCCATTTTATTGTATTTCTAATTTAGAAATTGAATTATCTATTTGCATTTCTAATTTAGAAATTGAATTATCTATTCTGAACAAATTTTACCAAGTTTCAGAGCTCTAACATTAATACTAAATTTCAGTATTATTTAAAATGAAGAGAAATAATGAGTTTAGGATGGAATATCATTTCCATATTAAATGCCAAAGAAGTATGTTATTTGGTCTATCAAGGTCTATTCTAAATATGTATATATATATAGCATCTATAACATCATTTGTAGATTAACATATTAAG